CCGCTTCGTGATGAACAGCAAGAGGGGCCACAACAGGGAACTTATAGCTCCGTTTGAAATACAGCGCCTCCCCACCAGGTGATAACGCATATCTACAAATTTGCCAGTTTGAGCGGAGCGAAGCAGCTGATAATACTACTACCTTATCTGAACCTGCAGTATATGTATCGAGGGAACAGCGAGAGACTAAGACAAAGAAGAATAGCTCAACTCAACAGAGTATCGGCGAACAGGATCAAGCCCACGGAATTTCATGATGCGTGACAACTCTAGTACTTCACCATTTGAGAGCTCTTGCCAACACCGTATGAACTACTACGCCACTCGATTCAACATCGGAAGAATTTTCTCAAGAAATTTTTCCGACAAAAATTGAGGAAACAGATCTTTCCAATGCTGGTGCGTTTTCAAACAGACCTTTGATTCGAATCCACACCATACAGCAATCGACGGCGAGACCGAAAAAACTCAACTTCCGCTTACGAATTTGCCCCTCGTCGAAACAACCTGCTCCACAGGGCATTCCTTAGCCAGCACCCGTAGTGGGTCGTCGCTAGTATCAAGTAGCTTCACACATTCTTCTCCTACTGCGGGACACGATAACTCCACCTACTCACTGATGCTGCATGGTTTAAAGTAACACTCCGACTCACCTTCAAAGTAACATCATAGAGAGTGTTGACTTTTGGGCTGTCCACAGCTACGTTGATATACCCCTGGAAGGCTTCCCCCACAAACATGTCACTAAGCGGGAAAAAGCATCGAATTCACCAGTAGACTGTGAACTCATCCTCCTATACAGTCCACGGCGACACGGATCGTCTTGAATAGGTCCCCACTGCGTACCTCACTTCTCGGGGTAGCTTAGGTGATGCGCATTCAAGACTCCTCACAGTATTCTCTGGCAGTAAAGGGTTGTGGCATTCCTGAGATGACACATGCATATCTTAGGTCCCAGCTGACAAGATACGGAATAGGACCTGTATGATGCCATGAACCGGGCGAGCTTGGTGGATCTGGCTGACTCGCATTACCTTCACGGCTAGAGGGTCCCGAGTAGACATCAAATTTAACGACAAATCACTCAAACCTTCCGAGAATCCATACGTCTTACTTTCAAGAGCATACCTAGGAGATGAGGAAATCACATTCGCGGGCAGAGACAACAATTTCATGGTAAAGAAGGACATAGATTTCGGGTCGTAGTTCCAGCGATCCAGGTATTCCAGAATGCCCTGGGACTCTAACCACAGCCTACAGCAACGACGACCGTATTTCTACGACCAAGAATATAGGGGGAAGCATGCTGGCAACAACAGTAACAATAACAGCAACAGTACCAACAATAGTAACAACAACAGTAACAGTAACAACAATAATAATAACAACAATAGTAACAACAACGACAGTAACAACAACACCAGTAACAACAATAGTAACAACAATAACAACAACAACAGTAACAACAACAACGACAACAGTAACAGTGACAGTAACAGCAACAACAACAACAACAACAACAACAACAACAACGACCACGGTAACAACAACAGTTAGGAGAGTAACAACCCCAGATGGATATAACGCACTTCAACTCAGCACCGTGTTTCGTAGATCGTATGGAAACAAAAAGAGGTATCTCCTTTAATACTACACCAACTTCCTCATTACACAAAGCCAAAGCCTTCATGGGCCTCATTAACCGCCTGAGATGACCATCAATCAGCGAGTCCAGTTCACTACTCTAATACTACCAGCACGAGCTTCGCTTTAAGAGTCTCCCTATCACCATAGTTCGGCAGATCCAACTGGTTCATGCACGTATGAGCCGTCGGCAAACGATCAGCCCCATACCTATACCACACCTCCCTGAACTCATCCCAACCGCAATAGACCTACGCTCTGTGGACCGACATCTTCTGTGGTCCCCTCATCCCCTGCAACGCCTTAAAGCCCTCCAAAGGCACCTGACTACTCCCCGTCACCTGAACACCATATAATAAAACCCGACAGATCAACCGTTGAACTCACGAATTGCAGGAACGTCGCTAACTGCTGCTGGTTGAACTCCTCCACTACCGACCAGAACCAAACCTGAACCGCATGTATGGATCTCAGTCTCCCCATGAGCTCCACTGTCCATCATCAAAACTTGACTACAGCATTTCCAGGTTTAATTTGTTGGAGTCTCACCCTAGTGATGTTGAAAACACTAGCGAAACATATTTTTCACGACTACTGCATATCACCGCGAATATCGCTTTTTTCACCGAGTTTTACGCCATTCCACATAAAAGCGATTAAATTCTATTTTTTACATTGAAGTTTCACCCATTTCACCTGAGGTGGCGTAAAACTCTGTCAAAAACGCGAAACTCGCACTACTCAGTAGTCGTGAAATATGTTTTTCACTATTGTTTTTCATATCACTAGGGTGGTGAAACTCCATTGTTTTTGATTTTCTACCTATATTCATTAACATTTTACCCATGAACCATCAACCATAATTCCAATACAATATCAACAAGATTAATGCCTTTATCCATTCAACCAAGGACGCACTCAATGATGAACATTAACCGGCTGGGCAAAAAATCAAACATTACGCTAGAAAATAAATAAGATCTCGAAACGCTGTAAAGTACCCCACTACCCATCAGCGGTGGAATATATGATGACTTTCCTCAGCTGAGCCCAGAAGTTCCCTCACTAATTATACAAGTTTATATACGAATTCGGGTAAGAGTGTACAGAAACCAGGGAGAATTTCCTCAAATGTCACCTACACATGTAGTTGCTCCCACACCGCCATCCATCACAATATAAAGACGCCCCCCCCCTATTCTTACTATCTGATCAGAGTCCTTAGTATAGTTGACATAAACCGTGTTTCTCTTCCAGTCCTCTACATCGATCGTGGGCAGCCCCGATATGAGCAACTCCAACTCTCTATCGTCAAACATGCGGCCCAGCACGTCACTCGGCACCTAACCAGACGCATGCCCCTCGCCCCCCCAAAGACGTACCGCCCTACCAGCTCATTGAAGCCCTTGAGGAAGGCGTTCAATTGAGGCCTCACTGCTTGGGTCATCTTATGTTGGCATACCAAATGGACATACTCCTTCTTGTTCTCTTCGGTCACCCTTATGTTCGCACCGTTTTCCTTCAACTCCACCGAGCGCACTCTGAAAACGGCGTCCAACCTCAAAACAACAACAACAACCACACCTGCCAAAGTCGTCCAGATCTGTTGTAAAATTCATATCCGCAGCTACTACTGCTCCCTCCGGAGAGTTCAGGTCAGTATCTGTGAGCGATAGATCTGATAGTAGCTTTCAAAACTAGGAAGCTCCTGAAATTCACAGTTATTATTGTGGCCATTAGAAACCCGACTATTCGCAAAGGTGTTGATGGAAAAAGTGTTACTCAACTACGACCATCACAAAAACTAAAAAATCAATTGATTTTAGTTAAGGAAGTTTCCAAACGCCTCTCTCACATTGCGAGATCGGATACATAGTTCGAATATCGGCAATTCCTGCCAATTGACAGCTACCCACACGGATATCTTGAGGTCGACCGCGGAAGATACAAAACAGGCCCAAAACATACCATCCCAACCAAGCCTACCGAGTATCCACAGCATTTGCCGATAGAAATCAGGGTCTTCCGACTCCATATCATGCCATGACACCTTTCAACAAAACAATCCCCAAAATCCTAGCGGAGCGAAGCACTCCCTCTCACCGGCTTCCCCAACATGTGTTTATAGAAACTCCTCGTGAAATAACAGTCTAGCCTCTGGTTGTCATAAATTGCCTTTCCAATGAATCTTCCACAGAATTCAAAAAACGCCAGATGGTCCGGATTAGCATAGGACATACTGTTAGGGTGGAACGTTGAGCAGTTACCTCCTACAAAATCAAACACTACTTCTTCACACTTCCATCACAACAACCTCACCTGCTGTGCTGAAGAGTGCATAATTCGGGTTGAATATTTCCCGAGATAAAATCCCAAACCACTCCCGTACCACACCTCCAGCATCTACTGCTTCTTCACCAGAGAATACTATCGACAGCTTTCCCCTCATCTGACACATATCATCCAATGGAGTTTCACCACCCTAGTGATATGAAAAACATATTTCACGACTACTGCAAGGCACAAATATCGCCTAGTTTTTCACCGAGTTTTACGCCACTTCACGTAAAACGGGTCGTGAAACTCCAATACACAAAAATTAACCTTCTCACTTTACTGCCAAATTTAATATTGGAGTTTCACCCATTTAACGTATAGTAGTATAATACTCCATGAAAATTATAAAACGTACATGTCTGCGCGATCGATGAGACCATTGCTCCCCGCAGAATGAATGTTTTTAACACATTTTATCACATACCATAAATCCTTTTTCACTACCTCCTCCGCCGTGCGCGGGCGCAACTGATGGAAGCTGTCCATGAACACATGATCCCTTCTAATATTCAGCCTGATAGGTCTCATGCCCATTCGAGGACCTACACCCCAGCCCTACTCCTCCTCGGCACAACCTCCCCCCCTACCTCTGTTATTCATTTCCCAATGGAAAAAGGCGCGCTTATTATCAAAATCAACCACATGCGGCGCTATACCTGGCAAGTTGAAACTTCCCCCAGCCCGAACCCAACCTCGCTCTTACGAATGATATTCATCAGCATTCGAGTAAGGCTGTCCGTTGGCCTCTTTATACAAGCATTTACAGGCTTCTTGTGCCGTTCCAAAAAGGCCACCAGCTTCCTCATATCTCTCTCATAAGGAGGAGAAATGTCCTCCGAGTTCCCCGACATCAACGACGAACTGCTCGCGCTCCCTGAAAACAAACAACCACAAATGTCTTCAAAATTTAGCAAAGTAGATTTACAAAATTTCCAATCAAAATCAGTGAATCAAATTCATACAGTAATAAATTCGCCATACCATCCCTCCCCCACATCCCATCCCCCTTACTCGCACTGGCCCGATTCCCCGCAGGAAAGCTCGAGGCCTCCCCGACTGGTGAAACCACACCCGTATCGCTACTCGCCGAAGACGTCACCGAGTAATGCCTTTGACTACCACCAGTCTGTGAATCTGCCATATCAAGGGATACAAATCGATCAACATGGCGAGCGCTACTAAACTTACCCCCCTTTTGACTGCCAAAGGCGATCATAAAGGCCTCCAGAAGACCCATGATACGATGCAACCTAGTCGGTATGCGGCCGTTAGCCTCATCATCGCTATCGCTGGCTTGGACCTCCTCCTCCTCCTCACCGCTAGCAACCACTACTTCTTCCAACGGTGTTCTGATGTAAAGAAATGTAACCAACAGTAGAGTTTCACCATTCGTTTTACGTGAAGTGGCGTGATACTCTGTGAAAACCCCGATATTCGCGGTGATATGCAGTAGTCGTAAAATATATTTTTCACTAGTGTTTTTGTTCATATCACTAGGGGGGTGAAACTCCAGTAAAGCAGGCAGAATAGACAACGAAATGCCAATTTCTTATCCACAAATCACAAGGGCCGTATACAAGTACTATGATGTTTTTATATTCTACTTATTCGATACTCCAACGATTATCAATACAGGGCAATAGACCACATTTTTATAGGAATGAATAAAAATATATCATACCACATTTCCCCCGAATTCCACTCGAGCAACCGCAGTCATAAAATCCCAGCAAGCGACCATTTTTCAATACTAACCACGCAAATGGTCGAATACATGTGTTGGTGACAATACGAAAATTCTAATCAAACTTGGAAAAAAATTCTCACTGATTTTTGCACACTTCTACCCAAATTTGTATAATTACTAATGAAACTCTGGAGCTCACATATATTCCAACACCGGCTCCCTCCCGTCACCGCCCATTGCCCCACCTTTCCTCCCCCTCCTCTTCATCGTCCACACTGAGTGCCCCTCCTGGGCCCTCTCTGGCCCTCAACTCCTCAAGCTGCCGCTGCCCTTCTGTTCGTCGCATATCAATACAGTCATACGGGAGCAGGGCCTCATCCAGGGCCTTCCACAGATCGACAAGGCCAGGGTTCGATGCTGACCCTGTGAGGTACCTACAATTTTAGGTCAAAATTCCGTCACTGCGCCACAAAATTCGTCCTCACTCTGCGAGAGTGTTCCTATAGGCAATATCGAATTCCTCCTCCGGCAAGTTCCGACACTTGTTCCGAGCGACCTGCTTATACGCCCCCACAAACCGCATCAGCCTCTGCCCTTCCCTCTGCAGCTTCTCATTCGCTTCCTAAAGGGTCCAACACGAGTCGCGATTGGTGTGGTATGGACCCCTCCTCACCTCACACTCAGCCGGCTCCTTCAACAACTCAACGATGCTCTCCGCAAGTTGCCCGAGCTCCGCCGCCAGTGCCCCTCTGAGCTGCCGACCGTGGGAATCTACCACGACCAATTCTGACCGCCCGAGCCCCACATCATCCACTCACCGCTTTCAGCAAGTGCCACTACTAGACCGATGCCCTCATGCAATACACGCTCCATGCCAAAGGGATTTGCCTGTTGGAAAAATGCAGGATGCGGGGATCGAACCCGAGACCTTACCAGACTCATATCTCCAATCATCTCGTAACGCGGGTCCATCCTTGCAGCCTGTGATCGACGTTGCACAAGGTCCCCCGAGGCCGGTCCAAAAACGTATCCCATCAACCTCCTGGCAGCGTCCGCCGATATATGCTGCATTAGCACCCGCGACCGCTGTTGGGACTTCTCAACCTGACATCCCAGGTTCGATCCCCGGCAAGGGCGTTTCTCCCACCCTCTGTCTCTGCCTCGCAGCCACTTGCTCCCCTTCAGAAGATCTCGGTGCCCCATCGGATGACCCCTCTCGAGTCGTCGTAACTACCATCATCAGCATTCAATCCTCCTACCCCTGCCCGCTTCCTCCTCCTCCTCCTACCCCCTGCCGGCCTCCCTCTATAGGGCACAATGAGCTTCGACAACAGCAGCAAGAGGTTCCCGAGGGTCACAGCAGATGCATCCACAAGTGACGAGGACACCAAATCGATCAACAACTCGATACCACTCGGAGCCTTTCCAGTAGTCGACGCCGACACCACCTACGTACACACAGTTCACTAAAACACCGTTGAAGGAATATATGGTTGCTTTCCACAGCTGATTATACAAGTTTACATATGAACTCGAGTAAAATTGTCCAAAAAAACAAGAATTCCCCAAAATTTTCTCACAATTTTCATACCGTAATCAACACATGCATCCTTTCCCCCACCCACCGGTCTCATCAGCCAATCTCTCGAACTGGGTACCCAGGTGAGGATAAATTCAACAGCCACCAGCAGACGGGAGGTCATAGTGCTCCTCACCTTAGCCGGATCATCACCACTAGGGACCTACACCGTATACCAGCTGAGCATCCAAGAACAGCCCCTCAGCATGCACTACCTCGTACAGCCTGGGGAACGGAGGATGGTCGGGCTGCCCTAGGAGTCTAGTGCAAGGCATCTCCATGTCGGCCCTAGCCTCATCTACCACATAAGACAGAACCCTTCAACACCATAAACGACGACTGACCAGCAGACTACCTATTCGAACACTATCAGCGCCCCTGA